CCCCGCCCCGCCCCCGGGTGCCCCCTGGGCCCACACCCTGCTCGGCTGCCCCCTTCGGACTCACTCCGCCGGCCGGGGCGTGCCCGCCCGCCGTGCTCCACTTACTGTCAACAGTGACTCCAGACCCCCCTCGGCTCGCCGGCCCCCGCCGCTCCCTATCGCCGGCCCCCGCCGCTCCTTATCGCCTGCCCGGCCTTGGGATTCCCCCCCCACTGCGTGCACCCGAGCCGGGTCCTCCGCTTCCCCGCTAAGCACCCCGGCCTCAGGATGAGGCCATTGCAGAAAGTCTCTCTTCCCTCCTCGTCACTCTCCTTTTTTCCCTCTTCAAACGCACCACAAGCTGCGGAGAAGAGAAATGCCACTGTGATGAGATGTCTTTAAAGAACAGACTCCACTTTCCGGGAGGCTCTTGGGAGCGTCACTGATTAAAAAAAAAAAAATCATGGGGTGGAGGTGGAGCTTTGGAAGACAGAAAAATTAGCCCGGAGACCGGGGAGGGGATGTTAAAACAAAGTTGCACTGTACTTTTAAATATAGAAGCCCTGTGTTTATTACAAAGAAGGGGCCCAGCTGTGTCAGCAGCCCGAGAGCTGAAAAAACGAAACAAAAGCGTTATCTTAAATGCAAGTTGAAATTAGAAAATTGGGGCAGCTGCGGTGTTTAGTCTGTTGGGCCTTTGGGCACAAATAAGGAAAAACTGACTCCCGCGGATGCGTTTCTGGTCAGAGCCATTGCCAAGCAGAAGTTTTGGTTGTTGGTGTGGTCCCAGAATATTTTATACCCTTCACTGGCACAGCTGAGTTTGAAAATAACTGTTAATGTGATCTGTGTGATTAAGTAATCCTTAATTAGCCCTTCCTCGTAAAAATTAAGACTAGAACACCCCGATAGCAAACATTTAAAATCTTGTTAACTAGTCAAGCGGTTACCCATGTCAGGGTTAAACACACCCCCCCCCCCCCCCCCGCAGATGTTTTGAGCTTCCTGATGTTCAGGCGATTCAGGTTTGTGGGCAGTGGGGGATAGAGTTACATTTTGGCTCCTGCGGTTAGCTGTGGGACAGTGTGGATGGAGGTCTTTGACCGTCGGTGTGTTACGGCTCTAGAGCCCTAAGTTCTGCGTTCTATTATCTTCATCGTCATTATCAAGCATGGTTTTGCCATGTGGCTCAAGATGGCCTAGAAGTCATTAGGAGCCCAGAGTCCTGGGATTGGTGATTCTCCTTTTGCCTTTCAAGCAGTGGGGTTACAGTCATATGCCTCAAGGCCTAGCTTAGATTCTTCTGGGGCTTGGGGTAAGGAGGGCAGGTTGAAACATCTTCTCATGTTGCCCAGCGTAGCCTCAGAATCTCTGTGGTGATGAGAATAACCTTGAACTCTTGATCTTCCTGTCTCTTCAGTGCTCAGATGACAGGTATGTGGCACCAGGTCTGACTAGATTTTTTTTTAAAAAAAAAAATGGTTAATTAAGATTTTTTTTTTGTGCATGTATGTTTTGCTTGCATGTGCACCATGTGTGCCTTGGTGCCTAGGGAGGTAGGAGAGTGTGTCAGATCCTCTGGAACTGAAGTGCTGGGGAATCGAACCCCATCTCTGCAGAGCAGTGAGTGCTCTAAATGTCCCTGCAGTTCCCTAGATTCTCCACAACATCAGTTTCACTGAGTTTAGGTAGATCTTGAATAGGTAACGGGAGTAGAACATTTTAAAACTTTCGTGTGTTGGATCATTAAGAACCGGGCACTAAAGACTGCATTCCAGGTTTGGAAGAAAACCCCTGTTTTGTTTAAGTTCTGCAAGGACTTGGCGGGCACTAAAACGCATGCTATCATAAACTGAATCGTAAAGGATTGCAGGAAGGCACACTAGCGTATCTGGGGCGAGGCAGGGTGACAGTACTCCTACCTGACATACAGACGTCCTCTGGCTAGCTCTGGGCCAGGTGGGATGGTCAGGCAGCTTCTGAGTTGTGGAATTGCTCCTGGAGCAGGAGGCGAGGTGGAGGATCGGCTCAGGGAGGGGCAGGAACGGAGAGCATTTGCCTCGCACCCTGAAGAACTGGTTGGATTTCTCCCAGTGGGTAATGTAAGTCATAAAGTCTGAGGTGTGGGGGAGCCGAGGACCAGGAGGCTAGCAGCAAGTCTGGTTGGCAGGCGCATGATCCCTGGAGGGAGATGGTGGCCGACCAAGAGGAAAGGCAGGGATTTCAAACTCGGTCGTTTTGACTAGGTTACAGGTTCTTCTCCCCCCCCCCCCCCATCAAGAAGTGACCTTTAGATCAGGAAAGTTTTAAAAACATTTTTGTCTCTTTGGTTTGTGGTGTTATTCTAAGATGGATTCTCTTTGTCATAGCCCAGGTTAGCAGATGTGTTCTGCCACACCCAGCTTTGTCCCTTTGAAAAGCTTGACTGTAGTTATGTTAGGTGAAAAAAGAAATCTTGCTTCAAAAGACTCAAGCAATATAGGAGCATGTAGAATAGTTTGCGCCTGTAGGTTTTAGGGTTAGGAGTTGAATATTTTCAAATTAATGAAATGGAAAAGCAATTAATTAGACTTGGAATGAGAAATAGGTTTAAATTATGAGAGTGATTTACAGTGAGTGTCCTTTGCCAGACCTTGATAATTCCTGAATAGTTGGGAAGATACAGTCATAAAATCCGTGAAGATTCTTGCTTCAGGTTGTGTGTTGTTGTTTGTTCTTTAGCTCTTAGTTCTTTGGGTCTTTTTGCTCTTTGGGGGGCCCCACCACCCAGCTCCCAAATAAATCACACATGGAGGCTTATTCTTAATTATAAACGCCCAGCCTTAGCTTGGCTTGTTTCTTGCCAGCTTTTCCCTTTCTCTATTTCTGCACACATTTCTTTCTTACTCTGTTGCTGGTTGTGTAGCTGGCTGGCCCCTCTGGCTACTTCTTTTTTTTCCCCAGATTTCTCCTTCTATATATTCTCTCTGCCTGCCAGCCCCGCCTACCCTTTCTCCTGTCCTGCTATTGACCATCCAGTTCTTTATTAGACCATCAGGTGTTTTAGACAGACAAAGTAACACAGCTTCACAGATTAAATAAATGCAACATAAACAAAAGTAACACACCTTAAAATAATATTCCCCAGCAATTGTGTCTTTTAAACCAAAGGCTATCGCCAGTGGTGCCTGAAACGTTCTTTCTAGACACTCATAGCTAATTCCCCCAGCAGTCTGTTTACCATTGCTACTGTCAGGTGCAGTCAGATGCCTGGAAGCTCAGTGAAGGGTGAGCACACCTGTGTTGATGCACCCACAAGACAGTAGGAGACAGGGTGAGTGAGTTAGGAGAATTCAGCGGCCTCCCACTGTCCCATGGCCTCGGCTGACCTCCCTCTTCACCTGCCCCTCTGCCATTTTACTACATTTCAGCTACCATTGGCTTTCTTGTTGATTCTTGAATGTGCTTCTGAATTGTCGTTCTTTTTTTTTTCCCCTGGTTTTTTGAGACAGGGTTTCTCTGTGTAGCCTTGGCTGTCCTAGAACCCGTTCTGTAGAACAGGCTGGCCTCGAACTCAGAGCTCTCCAGAGTGCTGGGATTAAAGGCATGCACCATCACCATACAAAACTTGTTTTTCTGCTTCCAACTCTCAACATCTCAGGTCCACCTTGCTTTCTCAGAGAGGTCTTTTTTTTCTGGTCACATTAGGTAGACTCTCTCTTTTCAGTTACCTTCTGGTTAATTAACCTTGTTTGTTCATTCTTTTTTCCTTGTTTGCTTTTTACTGTGGTTAATTTGTCTTTTTAAAATTAAAAAAAAATATTTATTCATATTTTCTCCC